TTAAATCATAAAGAGCTGATTCTGTGAAGCACTTTGTGACCTGTAAAAAGGATGACAGTCTCATGCAATGGACATCATGGTACTTTTTGAAAAGTTACACCAAGAAAGCTATACTTTAATCAACACTTAGAGATCTCTTCACTATATAGCTTGGCAGAAATACCTCAATTTAGGCCAAAATAGTCTCTTCAAGTAGGAAAACTATTTAGGACAATAATAGCAACCAGAAATCACTGAATGGAGTAAGAATGTTTCATGCACCTGCTAGGATCCTAGTTGACAAGGTAACACTGTTAAGTATGACCAAATAATTGTTTTAATGGTATAGACCAGAAAAATCATCACATCTCTAATTTGCATTGAGCTGGCATGTTGGGCAGCACTCTGCATAAGTAATAACTGTGAATCTGGCAAAGTCACTTTAGTGCTCTTGTGCACAACTGGCCTTTCAAGTATCTTTGAGCTGGTCTCACTCTAGAATACTGACTCCACGTCTAAGGGTGCTTGAAAGAAATACAGACTGCAGTACTAGTTTTGTGCTCTAAATCATGTTAAACAAACTCACTTAACTTTTGCTGTCACCTGTGCAACTGAAATGCTAGTAATTTATGGCCTGTTATATTTCAAGGTTGTATAGAATTGGTATAAAAATTAATTGATAAAAAATGTTTTCATACTAAAAATAATGTGTGTCTTGGAAACCATTATCACCTTTAATCTTTGGGCAGAACCCATCCCCAGTCTTCTTACCAAGGTGGATAATTGCTGTATATTTATGATAAAAATTTCCCCCTCAAGATGACCACCTTATCTATCTAATTCATAGTTGTGCTTATTAATAATTTTGCCACATGTTGTGTATTTCTTCAGCATATATTTCTTATTTCATAAATTATTGTTTCCTTTCCTGCAGGTCTACAATGCTCTCCCTGCTCTCATTCATTATCTTCCAGGAAGTCATAAAACAATATTTAAAAATACGGATTATGTAAGAAGTTATACTTTTGAGAAGATAAAAGAACACGAAGAATCATTAGATGTTAACAATCCTCGGGACTTTATCGATTGTTTCCTGATACAAATGAAGAGGGTAAATTGTTAACATATGCTTAGTTATTTTATTGCTTATGCATTTTGTGTTTTATTTAATAATTTGGTATTTTCTAGGGATGTTTAAGTTGTCAGGCCAGCAATGCTTGGAAGGCACTTCAAGTATTCAGTATGTGAAAGAATATGAGCTAAAAATCCTGGAATATATAAAATTAAATTGTTGTATAATTACAAT